CCCAGCGAAATCGGCGGACCCTGGGGCATAGCCACCACTCCGTGTTCTGGTTGTACATCTTCTATGGCCTTTTGTCCAGAGTCAGGCGTTTTCTCGCTGGTATGTTCCGACATGGCACACCGGAAAGAGCCCGCGTCAATTTGGGCTCATAACCCACTTCAAGCGCGGTCCAACTCGCACTTATTTTCTCGAACAGAAAAGGGCTATCCATTGTCCAAACGTTCACCACTGCACAAACGAAAAAGCTCGAAACGCCTCAAGCACATGAAACGGGGATTCTGCTATAATGATTGGTTAAAGATGCACCTTTGCGGTCAATCCCTGTTCCAGCAGGAGGACCCAAAAATGAATGCCCTCTGTATCGGTCCAAACCCCTAGCTGTGAATCGACTTCACGAAACCTTCAGGCACAGCCTGAAGTATCACAAAGCCTCAAGATCCAAGCATACCCTCTCCTTGGAGCCGCTAATCTCCGTTCAATCTTCAAAAAGAACCCTTCTGATTGCATGTCACCCATCTAATTGGAACAATTTCGCAGTTCCAAGTGCCACACACCGTTCATCCTCGCCTGTCTCCTTACAAAGCCCGCTCACCACGATCAGCGCCGCCGCCAGCAGCGTGCGCAGCGCCCGCGCGGCGAGCCGTGGCCGCGCGGTGGGCCGCCGTGGTCCATAGACCTCTAAGGCGAAGAAGAGAACCTGCGAGGCGAGGGCAATGAGTGGAGCCCGAAGTGAGGCAGGGTTGTAGCAGGATGACTGGGCCCTCCCCCCGAACAAATGCTTTGTCTCCGGAACCAACCAGCCTTGACCTGTAATTACTGCCGCTCCCGATCATTCTCTCTTGCGCGTTTCTAACCCTACTTTGCCAAACATTTCAAAGGCTATTGGTCTACTAGACATATTATACCTCCTGTACCAAGACCCGGCCTCTGCAGAACAGTCATCGAGCCCAACAATCGGTGCTGGTTTTCACCTAATTAAGGGGTTCACCTGCAGGGCCTCTACCAAAGGTGGACTGCGCCATAAGGGCTCTATGGTCCTTGCATGTCCTTCCAACGGCGGCACACCCCGCAACAGTGCGTCAATAGTGTGACGCCAAGAGTTGTGCTAGTTGTTCGTATCTGAGTTGAACAAAATATTCAATGGGTAAAAAGATTGAAGTAAAATTCAGTGAACATCAAAGAAAGTGCAGACTTTTCTTTAAATCAAGTCCAACGGTCTTACTGGGAAGAAAAACTAATCAATCTCAAAAACAACATCAACCAGTCTCCCCGATCTTACTCAAAACTCACGTAAACATTTCGAAACACGTCTAAACGCATCAAGGAAAACACATCGTGAACGTCCAGAAATCTCGTAAGACAATGAACCACTTATTGAAGGTAAATGAATGACAAAGCTTTGACACAAAACCATTTCAGTCACAGTTTTCCAAAACATCAAATCTTGTGCAAACATCGATGCGGGTAAACATGTTCAGAATGAACATGACAAACCAAAGGTCCAAGAGTCTCAGGCTAATATTGGAAGGATGGACTCAAGAAACTCAAGCTCAAACTAAATTGTCATGGAAGGTGTCTCTTGCAAAGTCTCGACACAAGCATGTTTCAGGAATTACGTCTAAACAATCAACAAATCTGTGAAGCCAAAACTGGCAGCTAAACGAACAAAAGCGTGATGCCTCACTCTAGAAACTGACAGTCAACGACAATAAAACTAGTTGAGGACAAGGGCAAGACTAGAGTGCGATCGCATTGCCAAAGAAGGGGAAACACACAACATTAAAAAGCAAGAAAAATCACGGATTCTCACACGTCGGCAACGGCCGGAGATCCGGCGTCCGCCTGCGCGCACAAGATGTCCGCCCGGCCCACCACGTAGCAAATGCTCTCAGTATGCACCGGGTGTGCAGCGAAAAGGCAGGCCAACAGCCTTGGATTGGAATCGACTGACCTACTTGAAGCCGTGAACCGCCGGTCTAGCGCAGTGAAGCCCAGGGAGGAATTCTCACGTGACAAAAGGCGTTGCAGTTGGAAGAACAAGAAGTCTATTTGGGATTTAGGCGTCCTCGAACCCACAGTGTTCCCAAAATGAAAGCTGAGGATTGCAGGATTCTGGAGAAACAAGAAAAACGGATTGGAGCACATGGTGGGACTCGTGCTAGTGGGTATGACAAATTAACACATTATGAAAACCCAGCAGCCAAATAAAAACTATGAAACTACCGGATGCATCTTAAATTCCAGAACCGCCTTTATCTGAATGGAGATCTTTGCAATCAACTGGCTTTCTCAAGTTTCCAGGAACCTTGTAGTTATATAGTTGGAACCAACCTCATCCCAGCTAATTAAGTTCTTGGGACTTATTTTAAGGGGAAGAATTGAACTGCAACTGGAACTTTGGGAGCCTGAGCTGGAGCAGTCCTCCCCCCAAGCCACCGGTGGACCAAACGACCGGACCCTTCCCACGTCTCCATACGTCGCCCGAACGGACCGTATGATGGTCCATTCGTCGTCCATGGAGCCCGGCCCAAGCGGTTGGAAGCTGCAAGTGCTTTCGTCCGAAGTGAGCCAGCTGCAAGGAACATAGGCCATGCAGAAGGGCCTGAAAGGCGCTTACTGGCGGTCTTCATCTGGATGAGAGTGGTGTTCGCGGGGGAGGAGGGTCTGGGTCTTTCTTTTCTTGGGTTGCGGGGGTTTTCTTTGAACAATTTTCTGAACTGGCTCCTCCGAAGTTCTCCAAATGCCATCCCAGCAAGTTGACCTTTTTGTTGTTTTGGCCGAGTCCTACATACCAAGAAACATCACATAGAGTCACTAGTCACGGGCACCGTTGAGGCTGGGTGGACACCTGGGCAACTTACTGTCTTCTCCATCCAATGCAGGTCAGTTTTTCACACATATAAAAAGCTCCTGGTGAGAGCCGGCTCCTGGTGCTCAGGCAAAATGGCCGAGAGGCGCTGAAAGCTCCACCGCTTGGACAGAACGCTTCACTGCAGGTTTTTCAATGGACAAATGAGGCCGAACCTTCTTCAAGAAAGAAACCGAAACCCTTCTTCTTCTTCTTCTTAATCTTCTTCCTCTGACGGTGCACGACAGCTACAGCGCACATGGGTTCCATGCCCAAGCCACATTGGTTCCATGAAATCCGCCACTGTTGAAGCCATGCCAGAGGAAGTTCCAACGGAACGTGAGCACGGTCAAGGGGCGAAAGGACCTTCGACTCCGAGGGCGTCGGAGGGCGTGGGGTGTCGACTCTTCCTCCTACGAGGTGATGGGATGGTCTCCAGGTCTCGGACTCTTGGAGTTCGCTTCCTTTCTGAGGATAGCCTTTCTCCGTTCTTTCTATGTTCAAACAGCTGGACTTTTGAAGCGACTTAGTTCTATTTTATAATGGCCATGGGCCGCAGGGGTTGCTCCTCGGCCTTCACCAAGGATTTCGCATTTGATCGAGAATGACATCACTGAAAGGGATCGCTGGTTGTCCCAAAGCCACCCAAACCTACCTGGAAGCCCAGTCCGAACCAGAAACAAATATGGAAATTGAGATCCTTTAGATAACAAGTGGTTGGGACTGGGGAGTTCCATCCATTTGCTTCTGGTTGGGACTGGGTTTCCAAGGGAGATTTTAGCTAACCATTTAGCAAATGTTATAAAGAAGCTAAGTGACTAGCTTAAGCACTAACAACCACTAGCAACCCCACGGTTCGTTCAAGTAGGGTTCTTTCACCAGCCAAGGAACTTGTGCGTCCACGTTTGAGGGTCGAACATCTCCTCAGTGCGAATGCTGAGCCCTTTTCCGGAGGCGGAGGTGCTGTTTGCGGAGGCGGAAAAAACAGTGGAAAGGGAGGTGGTTTCGTCGGTCTGGACCTGGGTGAGTCTTGTCTGGGTAGGTGGTGAGTCCTGACAGTTGGAGGTAGTTGCGATAGCTCATTCCTTCTTACAAGAACAACAACGCGTGAACTCATTCCTGCTTCAACGGGGCAAGTGGCCATCGACGGCCCAAAAGCGATCCATCACCTGGTCGGTATGGATGATACTTGGATCACACCAGCCCGTAGGCTTCTGAGCATTGGTGATACTGATAGTGATGCTTCTTGTAGTTGTTTCGTGATGATTGGATGATTGGAGAACAACCTCTCACCCTCGAAGCAAAGAGTATTTCACCTCCGAAGACCTCAGCTCCTAGGACCTATGACATCCTATGACCGCCCACCGCAACTAACTAGCTGCACCAAACAGCCGCACGGCTGCAGCACCTCCGCTGCTTCCACCCGGGCAGAACTCCCTGAAGGTCGCTCCGTTGCTCTCCACCGGCCGACGGAGTCCCACGCCGCGGGAGCCCACGCGACGCGCGCTCCACGTGCGGCGGCCGTGGGTTGGGAGGATCGAGCGTCCAAGCCCCAGTAGTCCGTGCGCCAAAGCCTGCGCCAGTCCAACACGCCTCGGTGCGGTGTTCGAGCGGAGCTGGGCGCCTTGCTGTGCGTTGGAGTGGTCGAAACGGGTGGAGAAGGGGTTGTTGTGACTGTCACAAAGGGTGGGTCAAACGGTCAGTCCACCAGGCTTTCGTTTGCTTTCCAGTGGACAGTTGGCGGTACCTACCAGGACTAGGGTCAAAGAACTGCTTAGCTGGGTAGCTTTTGGGATCTAAGACCCACGCCTGGTGGGGATGATCCTTTTTGGAGTTCAATGGTCTCCATCAAGCACCACTCCAAAACGGATCGTCCTTTAACAGCTTCGAAAGGTGAACCCTTTTGTGCAACAAAGCATGAGCCAGGGCGAGGTGTCCACCCGGGGAGCGGGTTTGTTTTCAGGTCCTTCAACTAAGGCCCTTCGTCCTTCGCTGCAAAGCCGTGCAGAAGATGCCAAAACGCACGACCCTGGTGCCACTTGGCGTTTTCGGGCACCTTTTGCTAGAGCACCTCCTTCACCTCAAAGCCGAGCACGACTCATCTCCCAACAAAAACGCCCAGGGCACCGTCGGTGACCAAGGAGTTCCGGCGAATCATGGCGTCGTCCATGAAGAAACCACCGGTCTCCAGATTGAATTCCTCAGAACATTCCCATCCATGCCCTTGAGGGTGGGAACGGGGGCGGGTAGAGTAGTAGCTATGGGTCTCCCAAGCTTGTAGGTGTCCTGTATGTGCCCAACCAGTCAATGGATCAAAAAGAACGGATCATGATGGTTTGTAGCGACCTGATGGTTAAGGAAACACCCGACTACCAAGAATCAAAACACATCTTTACCTACCTGGTTCTTCAAAGTGACCTTTTGATAACCTGGTTTGAGGTCACTTAAGCCTCCTAAGGGTCACTTAGGAACCTTCAAAAGGTCACTTTGAAGAAGCTGGTATACTTCATGGCGATTTATTATACCGGGAAGGGAAGTGTGAAATTGGTAGCGGGCCAACCTCAACAACAACAGGTGGAAACCCCGTTTCCAGTGAAGCCCTGCTTCAAGAGGAGCACAACCTCAAAGGAATGGACCCTGTCCAAAAGGTTGGAGCACCGCTCCACCGCAGCCCGCCCTATGGCTCGCGCTTTTCCTCAAGCGCTATGGCTCCCAGCCCTCCCACCTCGAGCCCCTTCTGGCATCGGTGAGAGTCAAGCGTGACGAGACACCTGGAGATCCTAGGCTGGTGAGTATACACGTTTCACACTCCCCAAAATCAGTGAAACTTTAAAAGATCAAACAAAACATTTAGGCAGGTGCATCGGAGTTCAACCATTTGAGTGCTTGCTTGCGGTGAGCATTATAACGGAGAACGGCAGTCTCATCAAAGATCTGAAATTGCGCGGTTCGTAAAGTCGTTCTGAGGAGATCACTATCCATGACTTTGGTCAAAGCATCTGCTAACATTAATGTTGTCGGAAGCCATCTGAAGTGTGCATGTTCTGCACACCGTTCTCTAATAAGGAGAACTTCCAGAGTCGTTCTGTATTCCTCACATGTGGGGATTGCAGTTCTAGTTGCCAAATCAAAAAGGGATTTGCAATCCGTGGTTATGATAGCCCGGTTGAGTTGTTTGAAGCCTTCCGGAGGACATCTCCAGTTGAACTCAGGGACGAGCAAACATCCCCAAAGAAGTCGCATCCAGCTGAGTCGGTCGACACTCTGGCTCATGGAAAAGGCTTCAGCTGAAATGGTGGACCTCACAACTCTTGAGATCTTCTTTGATGACCAAATCAAAGGTGACAGTGGACCTTTGCGGTTCTGATCGAGACACGTGGACGTGGCGCAGATCAAAAGACCTTGGAATGAACTTAAATTCTTTGGGCTGGCAAATGAAGCATCTCCGAACGAAATGTGAGTTACGTCCTCTGGGGTTATGGATCGAAACCAAATTTTAGTGTCACTATGTTCCTGAGCTTCACGCAAAACCTTGTTTGCCAAAAGCATGGTTCCAACAGTTGGTTTGGACAATTGGCATTGGACTTCACCTAGTCTGGAAGCGATGTCAGGTCTTGTGTGTGTTACGGCATATTGAATGCTTCCAATGATCCCTCTAATTGACAACTCGGTTTCTGTCAAGTCGGATTCTGGTTGTTCACGGCGATTCTTTCCGATATCAATGGCCATGATACCATGGACATACGCTTCTTGGGAAGCAGAGATGGATCCATCAGGTTGCTGTTCCAAGTCAATACCCGTGAATTTGAATTTACGCTCTTTGAATGAACCGAAGGGTAATCGTCGTTCTAGTTCCTTGAGTTGCTTCCGAAAGAACTGGTCACCACCACCTAGGCCATCATCCACGTGGGTTCCTAGCACTCCGTGCAAAACAAAGTCTTTGCCCTTTCCAGATGACAAGAAGTGGACACATGGTTCAAGAGGATGAGTCTGGAAATTAAGTTCACGGAGGTGCTTGGTCAATTCCCGGTAGAAAAGCAAAGGAGCATCTACACGTCCGTAGGCGTTTCCGACTAGTTGGCAGATCTCCGTGGGCTTGAGCTGCATTTTTCGGCGGAGTTCTTCTGGAGGTTCCATTGCTAACGGATTCGAAGCATCGGCCTTTCCCCTTAAGAAAGCAGTCGTGATATCAAAAGAGCACAGGTTCCATTTCATTGAAGCGATGCATTGTAGTATTGTTGTACGGCCCTCCTTGGTGAGGGTGGGTGCGTCACGCTCCACCTCGCAAAGTCTCGGATCCATAAATCCTAATACGACTAAGCGAGCTTTCGCTTTCCTACGACGGGGGTCGTCGCTCTCTTTCCAGGTCAATACCCATCTGGATATAAGGATCTGCTCGGGGTTGAGTTTCTGCCTAAGGATAGGCCTGATTGCGTTGGTTTGCAACCAGCACGATAGCTCAAGATCCTTTGCTGCAACAAACAACTGTTTTTCTTCATGGGACAATTTCTTAAGCTGAACCTCTGCTCTTGCCCGCTTGCCAGCTGTCGCTACATGTGCCATTTGCTCGGGGTTGTCTTCAGATGCCCAGGCTATTAAATCCTTATCGGTAAGGGGAATCTCTAGGGCAAATCCTTCTTCTTCTGTCGGCTGGAGGGTTTCAGCGACGAAGGCAAACTCATCGTCGGCCAGGAGGCATGAGTCTCCTGCCTCGCCGAACATGGCTGTTTCGCATGTCACGAGGTTCGGTGACATATGGTCGATTGGTTCAGCGAAATCGTTTGAAAGGCATTGAATGAGCAGTCCTACTTCAGTCTCCATGAAATCAGCTTGATCCATCAGTTGTTCTTCATCGTTTTCTTCTACCGGAGGGTCTGGATCAAGATCAATGGCTTCTCCCATGACTCGAGTGTCTTCTTCATTCAAAGGTTGGCTTGCCGTTGAAGGCGGGAGTTCTGGCACTTCGAGCGGGATATTCGGGGTAATTTCTCTTTCGGGTTGGGCATCAGGTGTTGGTGGAACTGACAGGCTTGTGTGATGTGGTTGAAGTGACCGAAAACGAGTATCGGCATCCACGGCAGTTCCTCGAGAATTGGCAGGATTATCTGTCAATGGAGTCGGGTTTGCAGATGTTTGATTTTGGTTCCATTCTCTTAGGGACATGGGCCTAAGGTTCTCTGGAGGACATCTGATAACACGGTTTTGGTGACTTAGCCATACAGTGGACTGTCCCTCTTGTTGAATGACACGTGCTGGACCATACCACCGACCACTTTCACCTCGAGAGACATTCTTTCTACGGAACCAGTACATGACCGACTGTCCTGGATGGAAAGGTCCTCGAACAGGGCAGGATCTTCGCAACAGAGCCCTTCGAATTGCTTGATGGTTATCAGCCTCTAAGAAGGCTATTCGTGCTTCATTTCGTCTAGTTAAAGTTTCACGGAACTTTGACGTTTCTGGGTTGTCATCTTGTAACGTGTGTGCACTCGTGGTTTCATCTCCAGTGAGCGATCCTGGTATTCGAGTCGCCTTGCCAAGGACAATCTGTTCTGGCGAATAGCCCTTGTGTCGAGCCATCTGGTTCTTGGCCATGCAACACGCCGCGAGGGTCCTATCGAAATCTTGGAGATCTCGAATCATGCGGTCTTGGTCCACACGGTGCAACATCTGCTTCAAAACTTGCCCGTGTCTTTCAATGCGACCCTTCTGCCAGGCTTCAGACGACATGAATGAGGTGATGCTATTTGCTTGGAGAAAATCCATCCACACCTGAGAGGTGAATTCACCTGCAGGATCAGGTGCTCCGGCCCATGACATCCAAAAGTCCTGAAACAGTGAGGTGGTATCTTCTGCGGTACGAGAGGTTGTCCTTTTGGCTAACTGAAAGGTTGAACATTCATCGACACAGTGAATCATATACACTTGGAAACCCGCCCGACCTTTCCAGAAAATGCCATCTAAACCCACTAATTACATCATTGAAGTCTTTGGGGTCATGAAGTTTTCCGGGACGTTGATGTTTGACTTGAATGGACTCAAGACATGCATCACATGCGTATTCAAGGGCAGCCTCAATTATCGCAAGGTCAGCCTTCTGTGCAATCAAGTGGGCTTTCAGCTTGATGGGATCTGGATGTCCTAGGTTCTTATGTAGCTTCACAAGTTCTTGTTTTTGAACACTTGAGAGTCTTCTAAAAGCTGGACCATGGATGGGTGTCGGCGGAGGTGCCCAACCTTCGGGAATGGATATTTGTTTACCTAGTTCTTGTTCTGATTGAGGTACCGCTATATGTCTGTCTGTGTATCGGGGGTCTACTGCTGGCACATCTCGGAACGTTTGCTCTTCATCTGGCGTTCCTGCAGGTGGACGTCCATGTTCATGTGACTCATGCGACCGTGGAGCTCTCTCAGCAAGGCTATCGGATCGACGGCCGAAAGCTGTGAGCGTCAAGCGACTAGGAACGCTGGCACGGATCTTCTGAGCACGAGTGAGGTTCGACCAATTATCTTCACCCATGTCTAACAGTTTCAGCGTTTGACGATGGAGACACCAGGTATGGCGAACGTCTGCTTCACTAGTTGATGGGGAATCTAACGGGACCTGAAATCTTTCGGTGCCTCGGCAAACAAAAAGATGTGTCCATTGAATCTGTGGATTGATCTCTCGAAATGCAATGAATGTGGGGTCGTCGAGCTGTATCTTTCGGTTCCCTACCCTTGGTGCCAACCTATGAGCGTCCTGAAATATGCGTTTCCAAACATCATGCTGTTCCGGTGGAACCTCATCTCCAAAAGAGAGAACGTCAGGCTTCAGGGTCAGCGTGGATGGGTGAAAGACATCATCAACTCGACGTCTCTTGCTTGCCGGCTCTCCCTCGATGTCCTGATGAGCAAAAGCCATGTTTGGATGATAGTTAACGGGATCATCTACAGTGTCTAGGATCACACGAGCCACTTTGTTGGCAAACCCCTTACAATAGGTTGCACAAAATTTGGCTAGTTTGAGGCCTCCCGTTGGTGTTGCATAGGATCCTGCAATCGACACATGTTGATGCGTTTGAGGGCATTTTCTATCATGTAAGTGGCTTTGAACAAACTCGGATGTGGACAGCAGGTGACTTCGTTTCCTAAGAAACAGTTGTGTGTTTGGAATCCTCAGTCCGAATGCACACATGTCCAGGTGAATCGGCAAAGTCA